GCCAGAGTGTCTTGGCTTTCGTGGTTTTAATTTTCACATGACTAATTATTTAAAATATCTTTTCATGTGCTTATTAGCCATTCACATATATTTTGTGCATATTAAAACTTTGGCTTTAATTTTACTGAATTGTGTTTTTTATATATTCCGGAACCAATTCCTTTATCAGATATATAATTTGCAAATATTTCCTCATACTCCACTGCTTGTCTGTTCCTCCCTTAATTATATATTTTAAAGCACAAATTTTAAATTTTTGTGAAGTGGAATTTACCTTTTTTCTTTTACGAATCATGCTTTTAATACTGTATCTAAGAACTCTCCTCAACCCAAATCACAAATATTCTTGCTCTATTTTCTTCTAGAAATTTTACAGTTTAGCTTTTCTACTTAAGTCCGTGATCCATTTCTGTGTACAGTGTAAATTATCTGAGTTCTTTTTTTTAAGATTTATTTATTCATTTGAAGGACAGAACGAGAGAGAGAGAGAGAGAGAAAATGAGTGAGATAGATTTTCCATCCACTTGTTCATTTCCCAAATGGTTGCAATGGCCAGGGTTGGGCCAGGCTGAAACCAGTAGCCTGAAGCTTCTTCTGGGTCTCCCAAGGGATAGCGGGGATCCAGGGACTTGGGCCATCTTCTGCTGCTTTCCCAGGCACATAAATAGGAGCTGGAACAGAAGTGGAGCAGCTGTACTCAGACTAGTGCCCATATGGCATACCAGCACTGTAGACAGCTCCACTGCGCCAGCCCCAATCCGTGTTCTTTTTTTTAAAAAAATTTGTATATCCAGTCGTCCCTGCACTATCCTTTCCCTCACTGAATTATCTTGGTTGTTTTGGTAAAAATTAATCACTTTACCATAAATGTAAGAACTGATTTGTGAACTTTTCTGTTTCATTTTTCTGTATGACCACAGTCTTGATCATTGTATGTCTATCGTAAGGTTTTGAAATTGAGTAGTCCTTTTTTTTTAAGTTTTAAACATTCTTCTGTTTATTTAAAAACATTTTAAGATTTTTTTATTTATTTGAAAATCAGGGTTATAGAGAGAGGAAGAGATAGAGATCTTCCATCTACTGGGTCACTCCTCAGATGGCTTTAACATCCAGGGCTGGGCCAGGCTGAAGTCAGGAGTCATGAGCTTCATCCAAGTCTCTCACAAAAGTGGTAGGGGCCCAAACACTTGAGCCATCTTCTGCTGCTTTCTCAGGCCATCAGCAGGGAGCTTGATTGGAAGTGGAGCAACTGGGACTTTACTGGCATGCATATGGGATTCTGATATCCTAGGCTATGGCCCAAACACTCTTCATTTTAAAGTTGTTCTTTTTTTATGTTTGCTATTCTAGGTCCTTTGAATTTCTACATAAATTTTAGGAATAGTTTGTCAATTTCTACCCTCCCCAAAAGTCCTATGGGTATGGCATTGGATGGGGTTTGAGTTTATAGATCAACTTGAGGGGAATTACATTCTTGACAATATTGAGTCTTCAAAGCCATGAACATTGAATATTTATTATTTTGATCTCTTTAAGATTTACATTTCTTTATTTCTGTATATTTTTTTCTTGTTGAAACTAGGGTGAATGAAATCATTTATTTTGGGGACTGTTTCCTGCTAGCATGTAGAAATGCAACTGAGTTTTATACATTGACTTTATATCTAGTGATCTTTATATATTCACTTATTAGTTCTAATAGAGACAGAGAAAGGTGGAATGTCTGTGTTTGATGTTTTCTACATGCAGGATTACATTATCTGTGAATAAAAGCATTTTAAAGAATTCCTTTTGAGCCTTGAAGGCTTTAATTTCTTTTTCTTCTTTTATTGCATTGGCTAGACCTCTTTGCTGTCTAGAAGTGTTAAAAACAACATCCTTGCTGGTTCCAGATCTTAGGGAGAAAGTATTCATCCTTTTGCCATTAAGTCTGGTTTGATAATAAAGGCTGTTCTTTATAGATGCCCTTCATCAGGTTACGGCTATTCTTTTCTTACTTTGTTGGTGGTTTGATGATAAATGGGTGATGTTGTCAATTATTTTTCCCACATCTGTTGGCATAAAATGTGTAGTTTTTGTCCTTTCTCCAATTAATATACTGTAATAAACTGATTATCAAAAAAGATTTATTTGAAAGAGTTACAGAGAGAGGTAGAGATGAGAGAAAGGTCTTCCATCCTCTGGTTCACCCCTGTATGGCTGCAACGGCCAGAGCTGAGCTGATCTGAATCCAGGAGCCAGGAGATTCTTCTGGGTCTCCCATGTGGGTACAGGGGCCCAAGGACTTGGGCCATCCTCCACTGCTTTCCCAGCCAGGACTCGAACCGGCACCCATATGGGATGCCGACTCTAGTCAGGGCTTAAACCTACTGCACCACAGTGCTGGCCCCAAATCAAGTGATTTTTGACTATTAAGACAGCATTGCATTCCTGGGAGTAAATCCAAGGAATTGTAACTTTTATGTGATGTTGCTACGTTCTATATGTTAGTGCATTTTGTTTATGATTTTTGCATCAATGAGGGGGCTTCAAAAACTTCATGGAAAATGCTTATCATGAATTTCAATTTTTTTGCATCCAAAATAAACATCTTTAATTTCTATTTTTTTCCACAAACTTTTTGAAGTCCCTTAAATACTCATGAAGGACATTCATTGGTCTGCACTTTTCTTGTGGTGTCTTTGTCTGGCTTTGAGATCAGGCTAATACAGTATCACTGAATGTTTTAGGAAGGACATACCACCTCCTTTATTTAAAGTGTGTTTAGGATTGGAGTTATTTTTTCTTTCAATATTTGATCTGTGAGGCTGGCCATGTGGCACAGTGGATAAAGCCACCACCTGCAGCGCTGGCACGTTATATAGGCACCATTTTGCATCCTAGCTGCTTTACTTGCAATCCGGCTCTCTGTTAATGTGCCCAAGTGTTTGAGCCCCTGCACCCACAAGGGAGACCTGGTTGAAGTTCTTTTTTCTTTTTCTTTTTAATTCGGTCACCATTTATGCAGTGGGGAAACTGGCAGGGATAAGACGTGCAACACCTACAGAAGCCTCGCCCTAGAGTCTTCACGTCAAGCCTTCACCTGTCTGTCCTTGTCCTCGAGAATGAACGTCAGCAGTGTCGCAGGCTCAGCCTCACATTCCTGGCACAGCATAGCAAGGTGTCCAGGAGCCCTCACGCCTGCGGCCCAGGGCCTTGTGCCAAGACCAAACCCAAGCCCGAATCGGTCCTTGACTTGTTTCCGGGGTCCCAAGAGGTCCAAGGGCCCACTGCCAGCCAGGATCTTCTGAACAGCCTTCAAACTGCCGGAAATGGCCACGAGGACAGAAGCCACGCCCATTGCCTGCGTCATCGGTGTGTCCCTTCCGTCAGCGCAAGCCCCGCCCAGCGTCACCTCAGTATTCTCACGCCTCAGGCGGTAGAGGCCACGTGTACCGACCGCTCCTCTTACACCCTTCGCCCCTGCGTTCACCCCACAGAAGGCATCGGTGGCCTGGAGCCCTTGGAGGCCCATTGCTGGAGACACCAACTCAACGGGGAAGCTGCTGCGTGTGAAGACCGCCACAGCAGGGCCCAGGAAAGGGAGGCGGTTTGGCAGGATGGCGCTGAGTAACAGTGTTTCCAGAAAGCAGACCTATGTCCCAGCCTCAGAACTGATGCTCAATGGGAGGAAGACGTGGGAGCAGTGCGCAGCAGCTTCCTGGGAGGAACGAGGTAAGGAAGGGCGGAGGCCGTGGTGCGAGGGGCTGGAAGGAGTGGCCAAGGCCCCAGCGCATGCGCCCAGGCTGGTCGGGTGCAAGCCCCAGGTAGCACAGCCTTCGGGGCGATGCCCAGGGAAGGCATTGACTTGGGCGGTATCAAATGCTATCTGCCCAGTCTCTTAAAGAAATGAAGCATTTCCTTCTGTGCATGGGCATATGAGAGGCCTTCCACTTTCTAGCTCACGGAGATCTGCCAGGTTTTGATTTCACCTTCTAGGAGCTGGAGACATGCCCCTACGATCCTTGCCCCTAGTGTCTGCAGATTTGGAGGAGGCACAGGGCCCCCCTGGGGTGCTGCAGCCTGGGGGCAAGCGAAGGTGCCTAGAGGCCCAAGGTCTGTGTCGGCTGGAAATCATTAGTTCCCTCATTTGCTCACTGAAAGTTGGTAGTACAAGGCCCACTAGGGACTCTGGGTTTTGAGTCCTACCAGTCTTTTAAAAATGAGTCTTGGAAAAATGAGTCTGTGGTGCACATTTTCTCGTAACTAGCCTTGTTGCCTCTGCTTAAGATCGCATTTGGAAAAATTCTGCCCGCACTGCTGAGATTCATATTAATGACCTAACTAGAGGGGATTTTCAAAGTGAATCTGCCTTCCTACGAAGGTCAAAACAAACTTTGTGTCTTTCGTGCTTCCATGTGACTTTTAGCATTGTGTTTCCTAGTTCTTTGACGAATGGTACTGGTATTTTGATGGCGTTTGCCTTGGGTGGTGTTGATATTTTCATCATATTAATTCTTCAGTCGATGAACATAGAAAGTCTGTTTGTGTGTGTGTCCTTTGTGTGTGTGTCTTCCATTTCTTTCATTAGTTTCTTGTAGCTTTCATTGTGAAAGTCTTTCACATCCTTTGTTAAATTTATTACACAGTACTTTTTTGTAGCTTTTGTGATGTAATTGCTTATATACTCTCTTTCTCAACTAATTCAGTGTTGGTGAATAAAAATGCTGTTTTTTGCGTGTTTGTTTTTTGTGATACACCTTCTATTTTTTTCTGTTATTGATTTACAATTATTAACTCTTCCTAGGTGAGTCAGAAAGACTTCATAGACCCAATTGCACTTGAACTCCAAGGATGAATGATGTCTCCAGACAGAATGCTGTGGCCAATTGAAATTTAATTGGAGCCGGCCGCGGCTTACTAGGTTAATCCTCCGCCTTGTGGTGCCGGCACACCGGGTTCTAGTCCCGGTCGGGGCACCGGATTCTGTCCCGGTTGCCCCTCTTCCAGGCCAGCTCTCTGCTGTGGCCAGGGAGTGCAGTGGAGGATGACCCAAGTGCTTGGGCCCTGCACCCCATGGGAGACCAGGATAAGTACCTGGCTCCTGCCATCTGATCAGCACGGTGCGCTGGCTGCAGCGTGCAGGCCGCGGCGTCCATTGGAGGGTAAACCAACGGCAAAGGAAGACCTTTCTCTCTGTCTCTCTCTCACTGTCCACTCTGCCTGTCAAAAAATAAAAATAAAAAAAAAAAGAAATTTAACTGGAAAGGGTGGGGAATGGGAGGGAAGGCCTTCACAGGTAGAAAGCCTAAGCATGTGTAAGAACACAGGCTTGAATGTGCATATTCTTAGTGCTGGCAAGAAGTATTTGAGTTGTTCTATATTTGTAAATGTACTTTAAAAAAAATGTCTTGGGCAGTATACCTAAAGTTTGTTGATTTAGTTGACCTTTTCAAGGAACTTATTTTTGTTTCATTAATTTTTTCTATTGTTTTCCATTACATTGATTATAAAGGAAGTTGTGTTAGTCTGTTTTCTTCTTTTCTATTTTTTAAAAGATGTATTTATTTACTTGAAAGGCAAAGTTACAGAGAGCAGAGGCAGAGAGAGAGAGAGGGAGAGGGAGAGGGAGAGGGAGAGCAAGGTCTTCTATCCTCTGGTTTGCTCTCCAAATGGCTGCAATAGCTAGAGCTGGGTGAATCCAAAGCCAGGAGCCAGGAGCTTCTTCTGGGTCTCCCACACAGGTTCAGGGGCCCAGTGACTTGGGCCATCTTGCACTGCTTTCCCAGGCCAGAGCAAAGAGCTGGATTGGAAGTGGAGCAGCTGGGACTTGAACTGGCACCCATTTGGGATGCTGGCACTGCAGGTGATGGCTTTACCTGCTACGCCACCGTGCTGGCCCCCGGTCTGTTTTCTTTTGTTGTACAAAATACCCAAAGCTGGATACTTTATAAAGAAGAGAGGTTTATTAAGCTTACAGATTTGGAAGCTGAAAATCCCAGATCAGGTGGTCTTATCTGTTTGGTCTCTGGTGAGAACCCTTCTGTTTATATCACAACATGGCAGATAGTATCATGGTGGAAGCACGTTCTGGAGGAAGGGATCATATCACAAGAGAGGAAGCCAGATCCAGTCAAAGGGTCAGACTCTGTCTTTTAACAACCCACTCTCATGGGAATTCAGCAGAGACCCTTGATAACTACATAAATACCTTTCAAGGGTGATGCTTCCTAATGACCTAATTACTACCTGCTAGACCCCACCTCTTAAAGGTTCAACTATGCTATCACTGCCATACCACAATGGGGATCAAGGTTCTAGCATGTGAACTCTTAGGGGACAAATCATGGCAGAAGGGCAGTAGAGGTACAGAGGAAGTCGAAGGACATGACACAAAAAAGATAGCGTAAAACATTCCCTGGTGTTTAAATTGTCACTTCATTCTTCAAATCATCTTAATAATTTCTTGGCTCTGTGAGCCCAAGGATTATAGAGGAGAGATGTTTTCTTAGGATATTCTAGGATGTGCTTGAGCACCAAGGAAGTAGCTGTGATAAGAGCTACTGAGATTGAATTTTCAGCAGAATTATACCCCAGAGATCAGAAGCTACCATCCCAACAGGTCTTAGTAACTCCACAGTGTTTTTGCAGGGGGCTGAAAGCTTTTTCTGCACACCAATCATCTATGTTGTGGGATCTGCTGCCATGAGAGAGTGAAGATTTTTGCTGAACTTGATCTACAAAATACCCAGGATGGATCATTATAGAATGGATCTTATAGAATAGATCATGTCTGTAAGAAAGTTTCTCTGGGTCACTCAAATACTCCAGTGAGTGAGTGAAGGATGAGAGGCAAAGTGTGTTTCAAAGCCAGAGGATGAAATTAAATTTTCCTAAGAACTCCCTATGGTACTCATCACTTCCTTGCCTGTCCCTTCTCACTCCTTGACATGCTGATCCTCCTTGCCCACATTTCCCTGGTTTCCCACTTAGTAATAACTAAAAAAGAATATCTGATATTCAGTAGCACATGAGGAAGTGACCATTCTTGACTGGAGAGCTGTCTGCTGCCACTCAGCCTTCATACCATGCTAGATATTGAAGGCTATGTGTTCCTCTGACAGGAACTGAATTCTCTGATAGGTGGGCTATATAGGCTTTCTGGCTATAGGCTGTGTTCACGGTTCTGTTCTCCTTACCATTCCCTTCCTCCTTCACTCTTGGGACTCCTTGCAAACAGTACTCCCTCTGAAGCCTTCTCTATGTCCTCACAGGAACTACACTCTTCCTTCTGGAAGGGCCCTTGACTTTTATCTGCACTTCCTATATGGACTTACCACTTTCACCCTTATGGCAAAATGAGTTGTTCAATGTCCTCTTCCAGACCCTGAGCTCTGTAAAGATAGGATTCTGTATTTCTCAGAAGGCCTGGCCAATACTTTGTAACTAATGGATCAATGTTCAAAGAAAAAAAAAAGCACACAACAAAGATGACCATTTTGGAACCAATTTGTATTGTGGGTGTTACTCTGGTCTTCATCAGCTCCACAGCATCCCTTGAAACTACATCAGACTGTCTGAACACTCATGGCTTCCTTGGGCCAAGTGTAGCTGTCCAGCGTGAAGGAGTCATAGTCTGGAGTGTAGACCAGGGATCTCACAAAAGCCTCCTTGTCCTTGGGCTCTGGGTAGTAGGAGGCCAGGTTGTGTTTGTACGCATAGTTGAGGACCTAGAGACAAAACATGGTTTCTGAGGAAGTGGTTCTAAGAGGGACCTGCCTAAACATCCCTGCTTGGGATCCTGGAGAAGGCAATACCCTTTCAGGAATCAGATGCCTCTCTTTCATGAGTCATGACCCACAAAGCCACTGGATAAGAAAGATTTTAAGCTTTTTTCCTTTACAGGCAGCACTGTGATATTGCAATGTACTATATATTATGCCAGGGTCAAGAGGTCTCAATCTTAAGTTCTCCCTGCTTCCAACTACTTGTGGATCCTCTGTGGTGAAATTATCCTTGTTTCTTCATTTGTAAAGCAAGGATAATAAAACCTTTCAGTGGAATAATGAAAGGATACAATTGGATGGCAGCTAAAAGGATCTAGTACCTGGTATTTTTTTCACCTCCTGAGTATGAGAAATGAATTGAATGAGCAGGCTCAGGGATATTAGGGGTATTCTCTGGGTATTAGACATGGCTTTAGAAAAGAATGAATCTAAATATCCCCAAAAGGAAGGACCTAGATGGGGAAAAACTGAGCTTTGACCTGGACAGTTTATCTTGCAAACTAATTCTCAGTCCTGCTCTGAACAACTCATGGGAGTGTATTATTACACAATGTATTTTGTGAAATTATTTATTAAAGTTATCACTGAAAATGTAAAACACACACTAAAAGAAATAATAGTATAGTAAACTCTCATGTATTCATTATCCAGCTTCAACAATTATCAGTGTTGGGCTAGTATCTGATTCTTTTAAATCCATAACCTCTGCATAGTCTTGTAAGTTGGACTATTCCATGAATCTGATCATCTCATGACTCAGCAATTCTGAGAAAGGGAAGAATGACCATCTATTCTGGCCAGGCTGTCACTGGGTGTACATCTCTCTCACTATTCTCTTTTAATCTCTTCCAGCACTCTGGGAGAGGAGAATTACTGGCCCCTTTAGAAAAGGAGGAAACAGGCTTAAAAGGAAATGAAGTGATTGGGCCAAAATTGCCACTGCAGATT